GTAAACACCAAAGTGTAAATACCACAGCTATCTGGTGTACTTTAGTGTTTATTGTTTCTTAGTTAGTACGAATCGGGTCATTATTGAGTTCAGATTATTTTTGAGTGATTTCGCGTATCATGGTTTATTCCGCAAATGAAGTTGTGGATATTCTACTGGTTTTGGCAGAATGCCGAGGTGCATATCGCACGGCCGCTCGATTGTATCGACAACGGTACCGAAACCGATTACGTCATCCCTCAGCTTCATGCATTCGGATTATCGAGAGAAATTGTCGAAGAGGAAGAGTTCTGCAACGACGACAACGACAACAATGGATGAATCCTGACAATCCTCGTACGCTTACCGTTTTGGTCATGGTTCACATGAACCCTCACATCTCTTTAAGAGAAATTGAGAGAGATTCAGATATTCCACGAAGCACAGCTCACGGTATTTTGAAATCGAACCGTTACCATCCATATCATATCAGATTGACACAAGCACTGTCTGCACAAGATAGACAGAATCGGGTTGCTTTTTGACACTGGGCCATAGGGATCTTGAACGAAAGTCCCGAATTTTTCCAAAATGTTCTTTTCAGTGATGAAGCGACGTTTAAAAGTACTGGCGCATTAAACCGTCATAATTCCCATTATTGGTCTATGGAAAATCCTCACTGGACTCAGCACATTGACCACCAGCATCAGTGGAGTGTAAATATGTGGTGTGGCATTGTTGATGGGCAAGTGATTGGGTCGTATTTTTTCAACGGAACAGTCACCGGTCAACGCTATTTACAGTTTTTACAAGATGACCTCCCAGTTTTATTGGAACATGTAGACCTTGAGACAAGACTAAGAATATGGTTCCAACAAGACGGTGCGCCACCGCATTTTGCACTTTGTGTAAGGAATTATCTCAATGTTCTGTTTCCTCGTCGCTGGATCGGCAGAGGTGGTCCTGTTCTTTGGCCTCCGCGATCACCTGATCTAACTCCACTTGATTTTTATTCATGTGGCTACATTAAAGATGTAGTCTACAAAAATTGACCAACGACTGCAGAAGACATGAAAACACGTATCAGAGGCGCTATTGCCAACATTCCTCAACAAGCGCTTCGAAATGTTGTGCAGTTTCCGACGTCGACTTGAGTTGTGTCTTGAAGTGAATGGTGGGAACATTGAGCACTTGTTGTAACGTCTTTCTAGTAGAACAATCCATTGGCGCCTTTTTGTTTCTCCTTTATTTTT